GTTTTGCTTCATGTCACTGACCGCAAGCCCATCAATAGCACTCTTTCCTCCCACTTCCTCCCTACACGTTTCATTTCCATTTCTCCTCCTCTCCCAACCTTCCTGCTTCTGAACTCTATCCTTGGGCAAATGCTGCCCTTTCCATCTCAAATGGCTGTTCATTCTAAGGAGTGTGGAATTTCCCAGAGTTACTGATCACCTTGCAGACCTGCTATTTGACTGAAACGCAGCTATGGGAGCGAGTTCAGTTCCAAGTCTGAAGGAAGATTTGTTTTTTCCAACCTGTACAAGTCACACTAAGCTGACCACTCACAAAGAAAGAGACATCCACTTGGATACCAGGCGATCCTCAGCCTATACAACTGAGACCATAAGAACCAGATGGTGTCCAGCTACCACTGTCAACCACTTGGAAGGGGATCTATGTAGAAGATCTTGGACAGAGATCTTGCACAGAGTGAGAAAACAATGTAGAAATAAAACTCAGAATCATAAAAGAAAAAAAAAAAAAGGACCAGGTTTGCTGGTCTGATAGAACCTGATGGAACCCCTGAGACTAGGGCCCCTCGCTGCCCTTCAGGTCTGGAACTGAACCCACTCTTGTGGCTTCCAGCCAAACAAAAGACAGGCATATGAGCTGAACATTTACATTAGGTAGATACACTCCTCGGAGAGAACAGAAGGGCAGTGTATGCACAGGGAGACAGCTCGGGGGGCAGGAGTGCATGGGAGGGAAGGACACAGGGAAAAGGTGGCTATGGGGAAAAAGGAGGAGGGGAACTGTTGCATTGTGGGAGATTGCTTCAATGTCATGAGACAAAGTGTATGTGAGCTGCTGTATGGAAGAGAATTTGCTCTGTAAACTTTCACCCAAATCACTATTTAAAAAAAAAAAATACCACTTAGGAAACAGTCACAATTAAAGACTGGAGATGCAAGCTGTCTGGGAGCATGGATGATAGCTGAAATAAAGTCTAATGACTGAGAATTGTTGGCTGCAATTAACAATAAATGCATAAAAGAGAAATGGCCCTCATCACACAGATTACTGAGTCCTGGATGTCAAAACAGACCTGACACCCGGGCCCAGCGGGAGAGAGGGCAGCTGCAGGAAGGTTAACTGAAACACAATTTGATTCAGTACCTGTCGAGATAAAAATCCTACCTGGGGAAAGATGACCGCTCTCGTTCCAGGTACTCTCCCAATGCCTTCTGGATCTTTCCTAGCAGGTCTGCCAACCTTTCCAGAGACCGCTGGACCCCCTGGATGTTGAGAACGTCCATGAC